TTCTGGTTCATAAACATGGTCTATGCTTACAGTGTTCTATTCCTTTGGATTCCTCCAGCCCTGCCACCTGTGGTAGTTCTACCCATCCTTCAACATTCTGTTGAAATCCTGCTTAGCCCTGAAGGCTTTTCCAGGCCCTCACTGCCACAAACACCTCCTTCCCCTGTTCACTATTTTACTTTGGACTTGTATGACTTCACTTGCTCTATATTGTGTTTGTGACATATGCCAGCTCCCCACTATTTATGACTTTATATCCACATTGGAGCATGAAAAGGAATTGTATCTCAATGCCATCTTTACATTTCTGGTACTTACCACAGTGCACTCAGTACTTGCTAAATGAGTGATGGATGGGTGGGTGGATGCTAAGTCCTAGGAGTACAAGGACCTAGTTCTATTTATTTTTGTAATCATTCCAGTGCTTTGCATATGGTCTGTACTCTATGTTTGCAATAAGCTCCCTGGAAGTTTGTTTTATTCACTTTTATATCCTCACTGCTTCATGCAGAACATAGCACCACAATAGGTGCTCAATGAATGTTTAATGACTCAGTAAATAATTATTCACTTAATTTGCTCTCAGGAAACCCCAAAGAGGCCAATAGCTTTGGCAAACAATGTTGTTGTTTTTTAAAGATTTTATTGGGGAATTGGGGAAGGGGAACAGCCAAGTTGTTGTCCTTCAATCATAGTTGTGGAGGGCGCAGCTAGCTCAGCTCCAAGTCCAGTCACCATCCAGCTGCCCATTGGCAGCTTGTGGGCGCTCAGCTCAAGGTGCCGTGTTCAATCTTAGTTGCGGGGGAGGGGCCAGAGGTGGGGGATGTAGCCCACCATCCCATGCGGGAGTCAAACCAGAAACCTTGTTGCTAAGAGCGCACGCTCTAACCACTGAGCCATCTGGCCGCCCATCGGCAGCTCAGGGCAGCTCAGCTCAAGGTGCCGTGTTCAATCTTAGTTGCAGGTGAGCGTAGTTCCACCATCCCATGCGGGAATCAAACCAGCAACCTTGTTAGGAGCACATGCTCTCACCAGCTGAGCCATCCTGCCACCTGTTGCCAGCTCAGCGGCAGCTCATCTCAGGCACAGCTCACTGGCCCGTGTGGGAATCAAAACGGTAACCCTGTTGCTCAGAGCTCACGCTCTTAACAACTGAGCCACTCGGCTGGCCCCAAGCAAACAATGTTTTGTATGTGCTTCCCACCAGCTCTGATGGGTTGCCTCTGCAGACCAGTAACAAGCTGTGTCATGTAAACATGGCTCTACCGAGGGACTGTGAAGTATGGCTAACAGACAGAATTAGGGCTGTCATGGTGGGTAAGCATTTAACTCAAAGAGATGTGGCTCTCCAGGCAGAAACACAGCCTGGAAGAAGCCTCAGAAGCAAGAGCAAGGTAGCTTAACTAAGGCAGGATGGGATCCCTTATTCCTTAGGGAAAAGTCTAACTTGGTTTCTACTGTGTGTGCAGCCCTCTGTGCTCGGGGCAGCTACAGCTGTGAAAATAACTGGGCATCTGCTCATACAGAGTGCGAAGTATGGTGGGACTGAGGACAGGCCCATGAGTAATTCCAGAATAAAGGCAAGATTGACCAGTGCTGGAAGAGATGCATGAACAAGGATGGAGAGAGCCCCCAGGAGAATAGGGGTCTTAGGGAGGATTAGGAGAGGCTTCATGGTAGGGGGAGTTAGCATTTGAGCTCATTTACTAAACTCTCCTGAATGGGATGGGAATCGTAATAACTTCCAACTGGTCACCCTGCTCCCCGCTCCCAGCCTTCAGTCTGTTCTCATCACCGTAGCCAGAGTGATGCTCTTGAAATGTAGGTCAGATTATGTCACCTCTCTGATCAAAATTCTGCAATGGTTCCCATTTCATTCAGAGTAAAAATGGCTCCTGTTCATTCAGAGTGGAGGAAAAAGTCTTTATGGTGGCCTGTAAGTGTTTAAGTGATCTGTCCCCAATCACTTCTCTAGCATCATTCCTTCTCTTCTGCTCACTCACCCAAGTGGCAGCCACACTGGAAACTGCTATTCTTTGAATGTGCCAGGCATACTCCCACCTCACACTGTTCCCTCTGCTTGGCACGCTTTTCCTCCATGGCTTGCTTCCTCACCTCCTTCTAGTCTTTATTCAAACGTCACCTCACTGAAGCCTGACATGACCTATTTTAATTGTAACCCCTACATTCTGGTACATTACCCCTCTTTTGAAATTTGTGTTTCTCCATGGCATCTTTTGCCATCTGACACTGTATTTTTTACTATTTTCTTTTGTTTATTGTCTGTTTCTCCCGAATAGAATGTAAACTCTGTGAAAGCACTTCTAATAATAAAAAACTCTATCTTCTTCAATATTCTATCTCTAACACCTAGAACAGTGCCTAGTAACAGTGCCCAATTGATATTTGTTGGATGGATGGATGGATGGATGGATGGATGGATGGATGGATGGATGGATGGATGGATGAATAAAGACATATGTGTTTGAGAAAGTCTACAGGAAGGGCCTCCTTGTGGAATTCCTTAAAAATAGTTGTCTGAAAAATCATTTGCAAGGACAGATCTCTGACCTGCAGAGTCAAAGATCCTGCTGGGGATGGGTGGTCAAGTGCAGAGAAAGTGGCCCTTAGGCTGACCAAGAGAAGATTCCGGCCACTAAGAATTGTCTGCAGGATCCAGATGTCCAAAGGATGGACCAGGAATCCATTGTCTCTTTCCCCTACCTTTGCCATCCCTGCTCTCCATGCTCAGCCAGGCACCTTCTCAGATGAACCCTACTCAGCTTCAGTTGTGTCTGTCTTTCAGCAGTTCCCATGCTGGCCCTCTCCCTGTCCAGGCCAGCTGAGTCCCTCAAACAAGCACTTTGCTGCCCCCTTGTGGCTCCTGCAGTATAGGAACTCTCTTCCAGAATGTGAGGTGACAAAGGCCTACTAGGCTCTTAGAACAGAGATGGTGGGAGAGGAAATCTGAATCTTTTTGACCCCATGGCAACCCTAAATTATTGGCAACTTCCTCCCCTCACGAACATTGCCACCAATGGCAATTACTGTCTCTCAGCAGAGTCCTGCCAGGTGTGCCAGCTGGACTTGGGCTTTGGTTGTTCTGGGCTGGTTACTTTTAGGGAAAGAATTTGGGGCAACAGCCAGAGCCCAGGACTTATCTTGAGGGGCATTTAGACCAGTCAACTAGTATATCTAGCCTCCACTGACTCTGCCTCCTCCCAACTCATAGCCAATAGTCTTTGAGGGGTGATGCAGTCACCAGCCTCAAGGCTGGGGGAGGGATGTGCACTGTGGAGAACTGGAGAGCTCATGCTATCTAAGTTAATATCAGCCCCAAACAGGGGAATGTTCTAGAATGCTACTGGGTTATATTGTGGACCTATAACGCAGGGGTATGGCAGGGCCTCAGGAACTGTCTGGCTGACAAAATTTCTGATGAGAAGGCTACTTTGTTACTTATTTCTATGTAATTTTTTTCCCCTTTCTGGCTGCTTTCAAGATGTTCTCTTATCTTTGGTTTCATTATTTTGACTATGATATGTTTAAGTATGTTTTTCTTTGTATTTATCCTGTTTGGGGTTCTCTGAGCTTCTTGGATCTGTGGTTTGTTGTCTTTCATTAATTTGGGAAATTCTCAGTGATTCTCTCTTTAAATATTTCTTCTGCCCCATTCTGTCTCCTTTCTTCTTCTGGGACTTCAGTTACATGTGTGTTAGATCATTTGTCAGTCCCCCACATCTTGCTGAGTTTTGGGTCTGCTTGATTTGTTTCCTTATTTGCTTTTATTCTTTGTGGTATAGTTTGATTAATTTCTATTGACTTAACTTCAATTTCATGGATTTTTTCCCCCTCTGCTTTTGTCCAGTTTGCTGATTAAACTGTTGAAGGAATTCTTCATCTCTGGTATTAAGGTTTTCACTTCGAGCATTTCCATTTTTCTATTTCTTTCTGACAATTTCCTACTCTCTGTTCAAATTCCCCATCAGTTCATGCATGTGGTCCACCTTTTTCACTAGACTAGATCTTTTCACACATTAAATACAGCTGTTTCAAAGTCCCTTATTGCTACATCTTAATCATGCTCATAGTCTCTTTTTGAGATGACTCCTCCGTTCATGGAGTCATGCTCATCCTCTGTCTGACTTTTTCCAAGTTGGCCTCCCTAGTACACGGGACACACCAGACTCTACCTGACTTTCCTCCCCCTGGCTCTTTGGCTGGTCTGTTCACAAAAGGTTTTTGTTACTTCCACTTCACTAATGCTTCCTTAAAGGTAATAGGGCTAAAGTAGACCCTTCCCTCATAGCCCCTTCCACATTAGTGCTGGTTCCTCATCTCTGCTTGTTTGCCGGAGAGCTTGCTTGAGAACATCCAGAAAGTCAAAGTCCTCCATCATCAGAGCAGCTTTAGCCACTAGGAACCTTAATTAAGCACAGTGCCAAGAGCACATGAAATGTTTAAAAATGTTACTGGCGTCAAAATAAAAAAAAATATGTAAAAGATATGTATATATAATTAAATGTTTATAAAACAATGTTGTCCGTTTCATTACATTGCCAAATTTAATATTCAAATATTCCCATTTACAAAACTTGTTTGATTTCATCTCTATGCATGATGATTGCTGAGAAGTCACAGCCAACTATAAATTTAAAAAAACTTACTCATCGCCGATCAATTTCCAAAGCAGAGTTATAAAAATCCTTTCAAAATATTTAAAGCAATACATTTAATATGAGGGCATTTTAATATGTTGGCTACAGTTGGTGTGAGGCCTCCAAAAAAGAATAAGCCTGGGATCTGAAAGGCTAGAAATGGCCCTTCGCTGCCACAGCTGCCCTGTGTGTGACCTGCACGAGGAATGCCTCTCGCCTTCCTCCTTCCTCGCCCTACAGGCTTTCTTGCGATATGTTAAGCTGTGGCTCAGAAATCACATCCTACTCTGACATCATACAAGAGCCAGCTGTTCACATCCCACATCCTTTTCTTCCTTCCAGACTCTCAGCCTTAAGCCAGAAGCAAAGATGGGCACCATTCCTGAGAAACAGAATCACTGGATTGTGGGTTCTTGGAGGACAGGGTCATTTCCCAGGTAACGTTTGGTTATGTATGCCTGGTCCCTGGGCCGGGTCTGGCTGGGGGAGTGGACAAGGAGGGGGAGGGCGGAGGCAGAGTGAGAGGCAGGCAGGTGGTTGCATGTGAGGAAAAGTGAGGGTGAAGTGATGCTTGTTAGCTGAATGAACTAATGAAAGTAGTGTCTTAACTGAACTGACAGGCAGTTGCTGGAGAGATGGCCTCCTGAGCCCCACACCATCTAAAATAGATTTGGAAACTCTGTGTCTCCATTTCTGCCACTTTTGCCATCCTCAGAGACTTACTGGCCTTTGCCTCCCACCCAGTGATACTTGGCTCTGACTCGTATTCCGTGTCTCCTTTTGTTTTTATCTTCTGTGCTTTCATGCTAATCATCAGTACATCAGTTTGATTAATTGAAGAATTACTGACTCCTACCGTGTGTGAAGCACTAATCATGGCAGTCTCAGCTTGTTGGCTCCCCAGTACAGAGACAACACTTGGGGAGTCTTCTCCAATTGGTGTCCAGGTCAGTGGTTAGGTGGTCATGGACCTGGTTCCAAAATCAGTTGGGGAGGTGTGGGTTTCAGCAATGAGAGAGAAAAATTTTAAAATAAATACCTCTATTTTATTAAAAATATACAGTTTGGGGACTGAAGGAGGGAAGTAGTGTTTCTCAAAGTTCTAGGACTACTTAGCAACACCCATGGTGTTTGTTTCAAAACACCAGCCAGGAGCCTGCATTGGGAACAAATTCTCATGGGATTTTAGTCACCCTGAAGTCTGAGAGTCATTGGCTAAGGGATGGAGTAGGGACTGTGATTGTCTCGATCCTTCTGGCTTTTTAGGGTCCTTGGCAGGAACTCGCTTGACTTTTCATGAACAAGTTCAGCTGACTCATCTGAGGGTTCCTGGCATTCCTTTCTTTGGGTTGCTGAGGCACTGAAAGAATTAATATAGTTATAGGAGGGGGAGCAGCTGAGACAAGGCTCCAGGACGTGAGTGCCCACCCAGCTCACCCACAAGCTTCCCAGGTCTTCTCTGGGACACCAGTCCAGGGCTGGGCCCAGACTTGATCCGGACATGGAACTGCTTAACACGCCTTTGCACCACCTCCCACAGGCTCTGCTTCTCTTCTTGTGAATCTGCCTCTTGTTTTACCTCACAGATTACTTCCCTCCCCTCACTCTTCCCTGTTCCTTCCTACCCACCCATGTTTCTTCCTCTCCACCCCCATCTGATCTCCTTCCCAGAAACCAAGTTATAAGCCCTCTCCTCTGTCTGCAGCGTGTTGGACGTCAGTGTTACGTCTGCACTGGCTGCATCCCAGTGCACACATGTGCAGCACTGTGAATGTTAGCTGTGCAGGAATAGGCCCTGAGCAAGGGGGGCGGGCAGGTAGAGTGAAGGTTAGATTCTTCTGCTACTGCAGATAGCGTTTGGTGTGTGCAGACATGCAGCTATCTTACCTGTCAGACAGAGAGCCCTGGGGAGACGCTTGTAAGGCAAAGCAGAAAAAGATCTTGAAGGAGGGGGAAGGTCTGCTGGTTTTTGAGGGACACCATCTTCCTAGTGTCCCAAACCACAGAGGGAAGATGAATAGCCCGTCCCCACATGCTGAAAGCACACCCCGGCAGGCCTGAGACGAGACAGGCTGTCAATGCCAGGCAGACCAGGAGAATGGGGCAGTCAGCATGAGGTCGGTCCTAATTATGAAACTAGACAGTGCTGTGAGTTGGACAGCACAGTCAGGGAAGCAGGTGAGGTCGGCAGGATTACAAAGAGGCGAGGGACCTGGAACCACATGGCAGGTCACTTTGAGGATTCATGGTGGGCCAGGGGCAGGCGGCCAAAGAGAAGGTACACGTTTGGGAGTGAAAACAGAGTGTGTCTCCAGAGGGTCACAGACAGAGCGCTCACAAGGAAAGCTGCGTGCTCCCCCACTCCCACCCCCGAGGCAGCGGTAGCCTGGGCAGCCATGCCACAATAATGGGATCCCAGGACAACTCAGGGAACCCCCACCTGAAACGTCGAGGCCCAGCCTGACACGCAGGTAGATGGTGCCAACCTGGGATGTGGATAAAGAAGACAGAAGAAGGAGGACTTTGCCTCTATACCTGGTAGTGAGATAAAGGGAATGAACTTGTATGGAGTTGAAGAAAGGGGAAGAAAATTGTATTCATCTAAATTCCCCTGGAAAGGAGAAGCTGTCTTTGCCAGGAACAATATTTTGATAAGTGCTTACGCCTGACGCTGAGATCCCAGTGGAGGCCTGGGTGTGGGTGGAACAGCTCTGCTTGGGGCAGGAAGGAGTTTTTGAATTCTGCGTGTTAACACCAAAGAAAGAGTGGAAGAAAAGAGGCTGCTGTTTGGTGCTGTTCACTGTGAATCCCTTTCCCCATCACCCCCTTAAACTTTTAGAAAGTTACTACCATGAAATGCTCGGGGTCAAGTGGAGTGTGTACACTGGGTATTTATGTGCACATACTTACGTGTGTGGGAAGAACAAAGTGGTTGGGGGCCTCAGGTTCAAACAGATGCCAAGTAGAGCCCAGGCACTGGCAAGGATGCAGACAGAGAAGAGAAGGAACTCGGAGAGGAGAGACACCATCATGGGGGCGCCCTGGGCAAGTTTAGCCAAGTCTCGGTGGGCAGGGCCCAGTTGACTTCTGGGTTACTGAGTTCTACCACATTGTTGTTTTGGTTGTTCTCAATTAATTGTGTATGCCATAGCCAAATCAACTCACAACAACAATAACACACACACACATATACACACACACGGCTTGGAACCTCTCCAGAAATTGAAAACTAGGCATCTATGTACTAGGTGGGCTACAACGTTAATGTCCAACTAGGACTCTCAGGCCCACATCAGAGCAGAAGCATAACCAAGGACCAGCCTTTTTTGATGCTGCCATGCTACCCTGTCCTACCTACGCCCCTGTGTGGAGGATGGCGGCAGCATCTTACAGCTCTTGGTTCTGGTTAGCTCTAAGAATGGCAGGCATCAGTGTCCCCTCCCTGTCAGAGATCTTTAACTGGGGCAGGGCCAGGGCCACAAGAGGTAGCTGGGAGTGGGCACCTAGAAAAGCGCCTTGAAAGAGCCTTGAGTCTTTAATAGTGTTATCTTCTAGCCAAGAGAGGCAAAGGAGAGCCTTCCTGACCAGAAAAGTCGCTTGTTGGCCCACTGAGTCCTGCCTCCCTCCCCTCAGCCTCTCTTCCCAAGGACAGTTCTTGAAGGCCTTAAGGAATGACAGTGCTGAAGACAGGCTCCTCTTGGTCTCCCTCATCTATCCATCCTGAACCTGGCTTTCCTTGAGAACAACCCCCGACCTGGGGTGAGATACACCTCTTGAGCAATTCATGTGCAGCCCAAGAAACAAGTGGGAATGAAAGACTTCTGTAGGGATCTCCTGAGACACCGTGGAAAGTCCTTTGAGAGAACTAGATCGGTATTGGCAGGGGGACCCAAGCTGATGGCCGATGAGGCAGGCAAGCATCTCTGTGATGTGGCACAATAAAGGGGGTCATTATTAATGGTTAGAAAGAGACCTCTTGGGCCACTGGACAGAGACAGTGTGCATTCTGGCCTCTGGCCTGGAGGGCAGGTCTCCCTGAATCCAGATTAACCTCCCAGCCTTGCACCTCACCGGGCCTTGAGGGACATCAAGCTTTTATGGTAGGAGGAATGCACGTCCAATGCCAACAGCCGGGGAATATCTGGGCACCCCCCTAGCTGGTCCCACGACAGGGTGGTGGGGGTCTTCTTTTCTACTGGGTGACTGGAGGAGGCCACATCAGTCTTCCAAACGGCCTCCATCTGGTGCCCTTGTTGGCTAACGTGGAAAGTGTAAAAAGAGACCAAGAGTTAAATACAATCAATAAATAAACAAATACATACATGCATATATATATATATATATAGAGAGAGAGAGAGAGAGAGAGAGAGAGAGAGAGAGAGGGAGAGAGGTTGAGAAGCAGCTGGAAGAGGTTCCCCCAGGCGCATGTCCTGAACTGGGCCATACTGGGGCGGGTGTGGGTGTGGGTCGTTTCAGCTGCCCAGAGGCTCACTGTGTCTCTTTTTGAGCCAGGGTTCACGTGGTGGGAATGATCAGACTTGTTTGTACGGATGGACCAATGGCAGGTGCCAAACCAATGCTCATTGTAGAAATGATTGTGAGTTCTCAGCTGTGGGTCCTCAGAGTCTTTTAGTTGCATGGTTTGGAACATACTTGGTCAGGCTAGCCCCTGAAGCCACACACTAACACCCTCATCTGGGCCAATGGCCAGAGCTGGGTAGGGCAGCTAGGAAGACAGGTGCCGTGTAACTCATGGGGTGAACTTTGCCTGTCTGTGCCCTCGAATAGCTGCCAGCCTCTCCAACTGACCACCCTGCTCCCTGCCTCCCCACCCATGCAGTTGGCTGCCCCCTTGGCTTTCTGCACCTACCGGGCCATCCATAGGGGCACACGTTCCTGGTGCTTGGACGGAAGATGCTCTGGGGGCTGCTTGCAGGAGGGGCCGCTGGAGCGGACCCGCCGGAGTAAGGATGAGGGCAGCTTGCTTTTCCTTGACTTTGGGGAGGTGATCACAGGGGTGTGCAGGTGAATGTTCCACTCCAGCTGGAGCTAGAGGAACCGGCAGAACAGCATCAGAGAGATAGGAAGTTATTCCCTCTCTAGGGCAGGAGGAAGCATTGTCTAACTCGGGGCAGAGCAGAGAGGGTGAGACCCAGGGAATCCTTCCAGTTAGAAACCCCTGAAACACCAGGGTCTCGAATTTCCTAGAAATCCCTTGAATTTTTATTTGCTGGGTTATTTCCTGTTATCTCCTTTGCTGTGCAGAATCTGGACAATAGGCAAAACAGCAAGGAAAAAAAAAAACCCCAAAGGAAGCCATAGCAGCTGAAACTCCTGAGAGCACTGGCAGGATTCATGACATGGGGCCTGGAATGCTCTGGGTATCTTTCATCCAGCCCCAGCCTGGTACTGGCCAAGGAGCTGGGGGAACCCTCACAACCACCAGAAGAACTGTCATATGGTCCCTTTGACACTTACGGGAGATGATCAGGACTAGTATAAGATGACAGGAAACTGAGTTGGGGGATACCTCCGTGGCCAAGGCTCTTCCCACTGCCCCCTGCTGGCACTTACACAGAGATCCTCAGCCCACTACTTCCCCCAGACTTAAGCCACTGCTGTTCAGGACTCAGGGGTTACCTCCTGGCCCAACCCAGGGGAGATCCAGCAGGTTGAGTCACTGCTGTGGGAGTCTCCAATCCCTACAAGCCATGGGCTAGCCCTCTGGGAACCACGTCAACACTGGATGCTTCTCTTCCCCAGTAACGCGGGAAGGAGTTGACACTGAAGCCAGCCCTCGGAGATTAAAAATAGGTCAAACCCAATGGACTGGGACTCAGCATGGCTTTGGACTCTCAATAGCAACACCAAAACGTAAAAGGCAATGAGCAGTGTCTTCAGAATCGTGAGGGAAAATGAATTCTAACCTAGCCTTCCATATCCAGGTTAACTGTAAATTAAGAGTGAGCGTAGATACTAAGTAAAGATGTTTTCAGACAACCAGCGTCTCAGTGAGGTACACTTTGTCGGAGTGACTGGAGGAGGTGCTCCATTAAAACAAGGGACATCTGGTATCTAGAAAGCATGGGAGCTGTCCCCAGAGAGAAGGCAAGCATGTCCCCAGCATGAAGGTGAAGAGGACAGCTGTGACCAAGCTGGGGAGCAACCAGAACCTACAGGAACAGGGCAGAGACCCCCCCACAGGAGGGAGAACCTCAGTATAGGTAGGATTGCAGGGCCTGGCTAACTCCCCGGCCCCCTCCCCAGAAAAGTCTTTTCTTCCCGAGCTCTTTCTGCAGGTCCTTGTCTAGTGCTGTCCCCATAGATGGATATTGGGAAACTGCCCTTCCTTATACTCAAGCCACCCCCTGTCTTCACCTCTTCCTGGTTCAGAGGCTTTAACCTGCTCTCTTACCATCTGCCCGCCCCACCCCATCACTTCCACGTTCCTGCTGGCTCATTTTCTGGTCCCACCTCTACTGGCTGTGCTGACCCTGGAGAAGGTCACCAGGCAGGAGGCCCACCTTGGGGAACATGGTCACCATGCTGCTCAGGCACTTTTGGCGCTTCTCCTCCAGGTCCTTCTGCATGTCCGTCAAGGCCTGCAGACGGAGGTCCTGCAGGCGGTCGGTGTTCTCCAGGAAGATGTAGAGATTCTGGGCCTTGTAGGTAGCCCCAGTTTCTCGCATGGCTTGTATGTGGTTGATCACTTCTTGTCTGGGGAGAGAGGGAAGTCACTGAGTGGATGAAGGGGCCTCTTCCCGCCCCGCCCCCCCCATCTGTTAAGCAGAGATGACTCTGCATTTGTAATTCCTGGGAGCAAGAAGAGAAGTGGAGGAGGTTGGTGAGAAGTAGGGAAAGCAGGGGGCAGAGAAGTGGGAGGTGGTGTCAGGTATGGAGCCTCGGGGGCTGAGCTGGAAATAGGAAGAAAGTAAGGCACATCAGGGAGCATACGGGTGGGTTATGGGCAGGAGGGTAAGAAAGGAGGAAGCAATAAGAAAAAAGCCAACTTAGAGGAAAAGCCCACTACAAGGAGAGCAATGTATAAGCGCCCCACCTCCCACTCCTTCAGGGTTCCACAAGGCCTCGGGGTGATTCTCCCCATCCCCCCTTGCCCCATGCTGCTCCTCTCCTCTTGGGTTTTGGCTCTGCCCACACACCGCAGTGGGTGTGGGTGGATGCCAGGTATGAGCCAGGGAGGACATACCGGAGGCTCTGGAAGTGTCTGTAGATGATGTACTTATGGCACAGGCCCCGCAGTCTGAGCATGCTCAGCCCCATGGTGGTGGCGGTGAGCTCCAGGACCCTGCTGCGCAGGTAGTGGGGCAGCCCCCATTCAGCACCCTCACTCAGAAGCTGCAGATTCCTCTTCTGGGCCTCCACGTCCATGTGGTATACCTTCCCCTTCAGTGTTATTGGGGATATATGCAAAGGGGGCTGGGTCACCTTTCGGATGGATCGCCCTGTGGCAGGAGCGGAGGCTGATTTCTTGGGCTTTGTGGGAACACGGCGGGTCCATGGTTTCTGGGTAAAATCAGCTGAACTCATGGTCCTCTGAGTTCTAGGTGCAGGCTGCTGGGTATTAGGGGACCTGGGCAGGTGTGGCCTCCTGCCTTGGTGTGCAGATTGGGCTCGGCTTGGGGGAGATGTCAGTGATGCCTTCTCCAAGTCTCTCCATTGATTGGAGGTCATGAAGGTCGTCCTGACCGCATCCTCCCTTGGCTGCTCCGGTTCCCTCTGTGGGCCCCCTTGCTCCTTTTCCAGCTGGACCAATCTCTGCTGCTGCTCCTTTGCCACCTGCTCCATCTCCCACTGCCGCAGCTTCTCCTGGTGCTCTTGCTCCAGCAGGGCCCACTTCTTCTGCCGCTGCAGCCACATCTCCTCCTCCTCCAGCCACTGCTGCCTCCGCCTCTCCCAGCTGAGTTCTTCTTCCCACTGCTGCACCTTGCTCTCCAAGGCCACCTCCTTGGAGCTCTCTGGGGACAGCTGATCCCTAAAATGGGAATTAATTTGGAGTCCTTCTTTCTCCTGGGCTGCTTCCTGGAAGAAGTCCTTCTGGTCTTTGACTATGTGGCCTGGGCTCTCTGCCACTGGTATTTCCCATTTCTTAGGAAACTTGTGATCCACCGAGGATGGAAACACAGGTTGAAGACTTTCAGCATCCTTGCTGCTGTACACATCTGCGATCCTTGATTGCATGGTCATCGTGGAAGGTGACTGGTGTGCGGAAGACCTAGCACCACTGTCCCTGGCTATGGCCATGGGACGTGGTAAAAACAACTGCTCCTCCTTCTTGGGCTCCCATTGGATTTCCTCCATGCCTGGTTCTTTCCCTGGGAGGGTCCCTTCCTCAGGGGTGCCCAGGGAGTCAGCAAAGATCATGACTGGGTCTTCTGCTTGACTTCTAGCAGACTGAGCCTTCTTTAGCTGGAACTCTAAGGCATGCTTTATCAGTAGAAGGTCATGGTACTTTCCCCCTAGAATTTCCACCTGCTTTAGTAGGGCATCCCGCTTACTCTCGAGGACTTGGAGGGACTGCTGGGAGTATAGCCTCTGGCTGTGGATTTCTTTGCACATCTCTATTTTCAGATGCCTGTATTTGGTCTCCAGGCTCTTGTTCTCTTTGTGCTGGAGGATCAAAGCCTTGTTGAGGTTCTCCACCACAGTGGACATGTACCTGATGGCTCTGACCTCCCCCTGATTGAACATGGCAGAGTCCAGGAGCTCCTGCAGCATGGACTTCACCTCAGAGACCGTTATGCAGGTAGTATTCTTGTCCTGGAGCATCTGCTCTGGGCTCGGTGGCTGAAGGAAGGATGTAGATTTTTGTGGGCCTTGTTCCTGCCAGTCTTGCCAAAAGGTATGTTTGGACCCTAGGAGAAGTAGAGATAACAAAGGCAATAAGCTCCCATGGGTGCCAAAGATTGTACTGCTTCTCCAGACCCTGCTTGGCCAAATTCCCATCCCACTGCCTTAGGGCTTTGACAAGAACAAGGAGCTGGGGCTGTACGTGAGGCCAAGGGAGATATTGTCAGGAGAGCTCTCTGCAGGCCTCAGAGCTTGCCCAGGGCTTACCGGTCATGGCCTGCCAGCTCTAAGGCAGCAGAGCTGGAACTATTCAATCCAGTTCAACTCAATTCAACGTACTCCTGATCCTCCATATTTCCCTGGAGCAGAGTTATTTTCTAATCATGCTGCTTCCCATCCTCAATATCTGTGTGTGTGCCAATTATCCAAACTCTAGACATCTATCTGGTACTTAGATTCCAGATCACCAGGGGAACTTTATTTCCCTTTCTTGTTATCACTGGACCGTGTTTGTAGAGAATTTATCACATGGTCCTATAACTGTCCACATGATTTTGTTTTTAATGACTAATGCCTTTTGCCATTTGGGAGGGTTATAACCTCCTTTGATACTTTGATGAAAGCAGGAAACCTCCCCAGGAAAATGCACATAAACACAGATTGTACACTCTGTGTTCAAACTGGTTCATAGACCTCAGCTCCTCAGGGCTGGGTCACCGTCATAGTTCTATCTCCCAGAATCTGCCATGTGTAGGGCTGCTAGAGTGATTATCTTGGAACATCCATTCATTTGCCCACTCAATGAACATCACTGGCAGAAAAAACACTGGCTAACTTTGGATATGGGCTAAAGGAAATGTGTCAATTAAATGACATTGAAGTTGCTGGCCGAGTGGCTCAGTTGGTTAAGAGCTCGCTCAAGAGTTTGAGCTCTGAGCAACAGCGGTTCAAGTCTGGCCCAAGCTGAGCTGCCGTTGAGCTGCCAACAGGTGGCAGGATGGCTCAGCTAAAAATTTTTTTAAAAAATAAATAAATAATAAAATTTGGGCTTTATTTTTTAAAAAATTATATAAAAAATAAAATAAATGACATTGAAGTCAAGCTAGCATCAATCTAATATTGTCAGAGAGGCCATATAGCCTAGTGGTTCCGAGCTTGCATTCTGGAATCAGGTTAACTTGGGCTTGATCCCATCCTTACCCCTTGCTTTGGGCAAGTTTCCCAACTTCTCAATGTCTCTGTTTCTGAAAAATGGGGATAATCATAGTATCTACTTCATAGGACTTAACTTGAAGCATGTTTAGTGCCAAGCACAGCACCAGGTACCTAGTAAGTGCTCAAAAACTAATTCCTAAAAAGAAATGAATAAGACACAACTTTTGCCCTCGAGTTTATAATCTAGCAAGGAAATAAGTCAAGTGTACACATAACTATATTTGGAGAAATAATATGGTAAGGATTGTAGGAGAGATTGTCTCCTTTTCATCCACCTTTCCCTGCTCCCTCCCTCCCAACTATGGACCTTGCTTGATGATAAGAAACCTGGCCATGACAGCCAGTTGTAAAATGCTAATGTTAAATGTTGTTTATTAAGCCCTGAGCATGTTCTAAGTATGGTGCCAGATGCCTTGTACCAAGTGGAACCCTGCAAGTAGGCAGTGTCCTCCTCATTTTGTATATGAGTAAAGTGTAGATCAGAAAGATGAAATAACCTGCCCCAAGTCACACAGCCAAAAATTGGCACATGGGATTCAAACTCAGATCTGTCTGACTCTAAAGCCCATGCTTTTGAGTAAGATTAAGAAGCCAGAAATCCTGAGCATGGGGCCTGATTTTGCCACAAGCTTTTTTTGTGGTCCTTCCTCTTCTTTGAACTTCAATGTTCTCCTCTACAAAATATAAAAGTTAGATAATCTCAGGTCCCTTCTAGTGCTGATGGGAGTAAAATTTCAAGGTGGAACCTTGTTGACTGACCCCTTCTAGAGAAGCCACAACTGAGAAGGTTCTGGAACCTTTGGCTGAGTCTCACCAGACTTTTGGCTCTGTGGCTGGGTTTGGAGTAAGAAAAGGATGTTCCTCAGGCTCTAGTTACAAACTCCAGCCTTTCTGGCCTTTTAGCCTTGTTCCCCAGAACCTGCATGAGGTCACAGCTCCAGGGAGCACCAACAGGAAGCTGTGTCTACATCACCCCTTCCTCCAGTCCTAAAGGACAGCTCAGAACTGCTCAGTGCTCAGCTTGGATTCAACACTCGAACCCTTCACCACTGCCCATCCATCTCAGATACAGCTTTTGTTATGGAGGAGAGTCAGAAAGACCCCCACAGATTCTGGTGTGTGACTTCTTCCCCTGAGATGGCATCCACCCCACCCAGCCACCCTCCCAGGTACTCCTGGAACCTACTTTGTGCCCTCTTCTTTTGTTCATCAATGAGCGTGGAGCAAAGGGAAATGAGAGACTCGATGCCTCCTTTGGTGGTGACGAGGGAGAGAGGTAACACCTTCTCCATCATGTCAATCCATTCATCCAGGCCTTCCTCTTCCTCCTCACTCTTCCTGTTCTTGACCTCATATGTCAGACTATCGCCTGGAGAGGGAGAGGGTAGTTTAGGCTGAGAACAGTCTGTCTTCTAAGGCGCCCCTAAGCAGCCCTATAGCACAAGGGTGACACCAGCAGTCTTTGAGATCAGACTGGTTTCACCTCTTACTAGTTGTGTGATGTTGGGCATGTCACTTATTCCCTTGAACCTCAGTATCCTTGCTTATAAAAGGGTTGAGTGGGGATTGAATGAGATAATACATGTGAAATGATCAACATGAGGCCTGCCTGTTGAAAATATGTAATAGACATTAAATAGTATTGTTGTACATTAAGGCCAGGGATGTGTCTGCCTTATTATTGCTCTATCCCCATTGCCTAGTCCAATATTTGGACAATTAAGTGGAGTCAACAGCCCTGCTTAGTTCTTAGGGGCAGATGAAGGACCACTGAACTGAGAGCTCATTGGCGGCAGGTTAGTGTGAGGGGGGTGGGGTACAACCCTATACCACCTTCCTCCAACACTGCAGTATCCACCACACCTCACAGCAGACTGAGGTCTCGTGATAGGATAACTGATCTTAATGGGGGTGGCACCTGGCTCCAGGGCTATATGCAGCTGGTCCACACCCACAAGGCTATACCAGTTTCTTACAGCTGGCATCAGTGCTGTTTGGACCAGTACCCATGCAGTAAGAGTCATTTAATACTGTGAATGTCACCCTTGGTTCCTCTATGAAATAGTGTGATCCACCAAAAAACTGCTAGGAATAATAAATTCAGTAAAGTTGCAGGATACAAAATCAACATACAAAGATCAGTCGCATTTCTATACACTAACAATGAACTATCTGAAAAAGAAATAAAGAAAACAATCCCATTTACAATAGCATCAAAAACAATAAAATACTTAGGGATAAATTTAACCAGGGAGGTGAAGGATCTCTGCACTGAAAATTATAAGACACTGATGAAAGAAATTGCAGAAGACACATATAAGTGGAAAGATACCCCATATTCATGGATTGGAAGAATTAATATTGTTAAAATGTCCATACTATCCAAAACCACCTATAGCTTCAATGAAATACCAACGGCATTTTTCACAGAAATAGAAAAAAACAACTCTAAAATTATATTGGGCCGGCTGAGTGGCTCAGTTGGTTAAGAGCTCGCTCAAGAGTGTGAGCTCTGGGGGCCAGCCGAGAGGTGCGTTGGTGAAGAGCTGGCTTGGGA